TCTTTTTTTCGGTACCGGTACTAGTTTTATTTTGTTGTATTTATCTGCGACACCTTAAAGGCCGGTCCATGAAAATATTGTTGGGCATAAACCGGTCCGTGGTGCAAAAAAGGTTGGGGACCGCTGTTCTACACTCACCACACACTTTCTTACCGACACCTTGCTACTACCATGTTTGACCCTCTTTGGCCTCCTGACATAACGGCATGACGGCATCACACAGTAGCTGCAGATTTGCCTGCTTCACATCCTTGATATGAACCTCCTGCTCCACCACTTGTTCCCCACGGTGCTCTATTGGATTGGCTCTACTGGTCTCCTGCTAGAAGGAGACATCAGACGATGTGTACACTGTGGTCATAAAGGGATGGGCGTGGTCATCAACAATACTCAGGTAGGCTGTGGTGTTTGAATGATGCTCAGTTAGTCCTAAGAGGCCCAAAGCGTGTCAAGAAAACATCCCCCACACCATCACACCAGCAGCAGCCTAAACTGTTCATAAACAGCAGGATGGATCCATGCTTTCAGATTCTGACCCTCCCATCTGACAACACAACAGAAATTAAGGCAACATTTTTCTAATCTTCTGTTGTCGAATTCTGGTGATTCTGTGTTAAATGTAGCTTTGATTTCCTGTTCTTAGCTGACAGAAGTGGCACTAAGTGTGGTCTTCTGCTGCTGTAGTCCATTCAAAGATGCTCTTCTGCATACTTTGGATGTACTGAGTGGGTATTTGAGTTACTGTTGCATTCCCATCAGCCTTTATCCTCTAAACTCTAACATCAAGAAGACATTTTCACCCACACACCTGCCGCTCACTGGATATTTTCTTTTTTTCTCGTATTCTGTTAAAAAACCTTTGAGATGGTTGTGTGGGAAAAACCCAGCAGACCAGCCTGTCTGTGAACAACGAACAACATAAATCACCTTTGGTCCCCTTTGAGATTCTTGGCTTGAACTTCAGCAGGTTGTCTTGATCGTGTCTACAAACCTAAATGTACTGAATTGTTTTCATGTGATTGGCTGATTAGATATTTGCAGGTTATCTAAATAAAGTGGCTGGTGAGTATTTATAATAACAAACCCAAACAACTGAACCGTCTTTCAGCTTTTCCAACTATATTTTGAA